AACGCTCATCTAATCCTAACATCCCAGTACCATAGGATAATTAATATGCTAGAAACGTAGGAATTCGAAACACCAGTAGTACCATACGTACGTATCAGCACTGTAAACGCGTGAAAAGAAAGAAGAAAGAATAGATGAATCATACATAATGTTGGAATAGGCCCGACAGGCCCAACACCCAAACAAGGCTGGGCATAACGGGCCTAGGATACCATCAATTAGTCCAAGCTGAAGGAGCATCAGTACAAGCATACCCACGTGACCAGCGCCACATGGGCCAAGGGGATGCTTGCACGTGCAGATGTGCGTCAGCACCAAGGGGCTATAAATACCCCCCAACTACCTTTGATGGAGGTAATTAATCTCTACGCTTCTCTCTCTGCAATTACTCCTTGAGAGCATCTCTTTCTAGAACATTGAGTGTTGCTGACTTGAGCGTCGGAGTGTTTACCCCGAGGAAACAACCTCGGGATTTTCAGGTGTAGAAGCAGCGGAGGACTTCAACAGTGTTGAACTGCGAAGCTGCCGAAACATTGGCGCCATCTGTGGGAATACATACAAGGAGTCGTGTAGCTTTACTTGCTGAAAGATAATATGGTTCGTACCTTTACAGGAGGTCGCCCTCCAAGAAATGAAATGGATGAACAGGAGGACACTCACGTATCTGAGCCCGGCTTGAATGACTTTAGGCCAATGCCAAGAAATCTTTTTGTAGGAGGAGCCGAACAGGATCACCTAAGTGAGACAGATGATGAAAGAACACCAACTGGGTATACAACCTAGCCTGAACAGTTCCAAGTTCCAACAGGAACAAGACAGAGATCTGCCAGACCGTACAATTCACAGCGTGAACGACCTGAAAGGTCAACAGAACCTGCTCGGACAACCGAGCTCGAAGAGAGAACTAGAGTTCTCAAAATGGCAATGGGTAAAATCCTTGCCCGTTTAATTCTTGATGACCCCTTGATTCCTTTGCTGAACAGAGAAGCGCAACCGGCCGCGGTTATTGCAACTCGAAACTCCCCCGCTCTCAGCAACATAGTAGTGCCGACTAGGCCAAGGGGAAGCGGGAAGTTGAATATCGAGCCCAGCTCGTCCAAACATAGTGAAGAACTGATGAGAAAAAACACAGACCTTGAAAGACAGTTGCGGGACGTACAAAAATCTATTGACGAGCTGAAAAGTCCCAGGTCGCATCAACAGACTTTGGATTTGGATAGTGCACCACTAAACTTGTCCATTACGGTGGAGCCGTATCAAGAGGGATTCAAAATTCCCCACCTGGAGACATATGATGGCTCGGGTGACCCTGATGAACATCTGCACACCTATCAAGCCATCATGAGAATCCAAAACGCCAATGATGCTATGATGTGCAAAGTGTTCCCAGCAACACTCAAGTCAACAGCCAGGAGATGGTATCACAAACTCCCTAGACATTCAATAGATTCTGTTTCCCAGCTCGCCAAGCTATTTTCAAACAAATTTGCGAGCCAAAGGGAGATCAAGCGCACAGCAACCGAGCTGATGCAAGTACCAAAAGGAAGGGGAATCTTTGAGGGATTACATGCAGCGGTTCAACAAAGCCACCTTGGACATTGATAACATCCCAGACACGATCTGCTTGTCCGCCCTGTTACATGGGTTGAAGCGTGGCCGGTTTCCAGACGACCTGCTTGAAAACCCACCAAAGACGTGGAACGAGGTGAATGACAGGTCGGCCAGCTTTATACTGTCAGAGGACTTTCAGTCGTCCAAGCGACGAGCTGATGACAAGCCGAGCAAAGGCCAGGAACAACAACCGAGAAGAGAAGAGAAGAAGAAACAGAAGGTCAGTGAGCAATGGGGGAAACTAGCGGAGTTCCCGAAATATGCCAATTACATTCCTTTGACCTTACCCAGGTCTCAAATCTTGGCACAAATCCAGCACTGGGTTAGGAGACCCCCACCCCCATTGCATGATTCCCCTAAGGCAGACAAGAGCAAGCATTGTGACTACCACCGTGTATATGGTCACAATACAGAGGATTGCCAACACTTGAAGGACGAGTTGGAGTTTTTAGCTCGTAACGGGAAGTTAGAAGGGTATGTTCAGAAGCCTCACACCCAGCAACCCACTCAAACCCATTTCGTGCAGGCATACGACCGACCTCAAGGGCAGAGGTATCAGCACGGAGGGACGCAGGATGTATATCAGGATAACCAGTACCCTTCTGAGCAGGGCAGAGCATACCGAGGACGTCCGTTCAACAGGCGAGGACTGGGGCCGAGAACTACCGCCCCGAATAAAAAAGACAGGAAAGGGGTAGGTTATGCGGGGATACCCCCACCCTCTGGAACCATAAACATGATATCAGGTGGTGTTCACTCTAGGGGCCAAAGCGCCCGAGCTCGCAAGGCATACGCCCGACAGGTGATGACTGTAAACAAAAATAGACCCTTGAAACGGCCATTTGAGGAAGCAGAATGGGAGAATACACCTATCACATTCAGCCCGGCAGATTACAAACGAGCAGAAGCAGAGCCTGACATTATGATGCCTCATGCCGATCCCTTTGTGGCAACAGTTCATATAGGCAATCATAATGTCAATAAGGTGTTTATTGACACTGGTAGTTCGCCAGATATCCTGTACTGGGGTTGCTTCCAGAAGATGCAGCTAAATCCGAGCTCGCTGCAGAAGCACGAAGGGCCAATATACGGGTTTGATAACCAGCCTGTCCCGGTCGAGGGAGTTATCACTCTTCCTATATATGTCGGCTCAGAACCGCGCTTCAGGATGGCTTCCGTCACCTTCTTGGTCGTTAAGATGGAATCAGCTTTCAATGCTATATTAGGACGAGCCACCCTGTGCGAGCTGAAGGCTGTCATCTTGCAACCCCATCTCTGCATGAAATTCCCAACTCCTCAGGGAGTAGGAGTGCTGCAGGGGAATCAAAAGATGGCTAGAGCCTGTTATCAAGACACATTCAAGAAGGTCGAGCTCGCCGCACCCCTAGCATGTGCTGAAGGCCGCAAGCCAACCCAGCTCGCTCAGCAAACAATGAGCATTTCAGACATTGAACACCGACCTGAGGGTGTCGAACAGAAAGCAGAACCAGTGGAGCCGATAGAAACGGTCCCTCTAAACCCTATTGTGCCAGAGAGAACGGTCAAGATTGGCACCAAACTCACAGAGGAGGAACGGGCAGAGCTCCTGGAGTTTTTGAGGGACAATCAAGACGTGTTTGCGTGGACTACGGATGAAATGCCGGGCATTCCCGCAGAGTTGACAGTCCACAAGCTAAGCACAGACCCCACTAAAAGGCCAGTGGTGCAAAAACGTCGCCTTTTTGGCCCCGAGAAACAAGCTGCAATTGACGAAGAGATACAAAAGCTGCTACAGGCAGGTTTCATTAGAAGAGTGGAGTACTCTGAGTGGGTATCTAACCCCATGCTCGTTAAAAAGCCAAATGGCAAGTGGAGGATGTGCATTGATTTCACTAATTTAAATGAGGCGTGCCCAAAAGACGCTCATCCTTTGCCAAATGTTGAGAAGCTAGTAGAGCAGGCAGCCGGACATGAGCGGATGAGTTTCCTGGATGCCAGCTCAGGTTATCACCAGGTTCAGTTGTTGTTGGAAGATCAGGAGAAAACGGCCTTCTACGCTGGTGACGCGATTTACTGCTATGTGATGATGCCGTTTGGTCTGAAGAATGCTGGTGCAACATATCAGAAACTTGTACAAATCATTTTCAAGCTCCAGATCGGCAAAAACATAGAAGTAGATGTGGATGACATGATAGTCACCAGTGTACGGGCTGAAGACCACATAGGCGACCTAAGGGAGACCTTTCAAAACTTGCGCCGAGCACAAATGAAGCTGAATCCCCTGAAATGCACATTTGCTGTAGAGTCAGGAAAATTCTTGGGATATGTGGTATCCAAGAAAGGAATTGAAGTAAATCCAGAAAAAGTTGAGGCTGTTCAGCAAATGGAGCCGCCAATTGCGCTGCACAGATTTATAGCCAAGTCGGCAGAAAGATGCCTTCCATTCTTCAAGGCCCTGCGAGAGCCCAAGAACTTTCAATGGACCGATATGTGTCAGCGGGCTCTTGACGAGCTCAAACGATACCTAGCGTCAGCACCCCTGCTGTCCAAGCCTGTGGAAGGGGAGAGTTTGTACCTGTATTTAGGGGTTACAGCAGAGGCGATTAGCTCGGTCTTACTCAGGGAAGAGAATAAGACCTAGAAGCCTATCTGTTATGTGAGCAAGGTCTTACAAGGTGCCGAGCAGAACTACCCACTGACGGAAAAGGCTGCTTTTGCCTTAGTTTACACAGCTCGTAATTTGAGAGCTTACTTCCAATCGCATCAGATTGTTGTCTATACCGATTTGCCATTGAGAAAAGTACTGTAGAAGCCTGAACTCTCTGGTCGGCTTATCGGATGGAGCGTCGAGCTGAGTGAATATGACCTCAAATTTCAGCCGTGTACAACCATAAAAGGCTAGGCAATTGCAGACTTTCTGGTAGAGTGCATCTCGGCGACTAAAGAAGAAAAAGCACCCGAACAACCAGTCTGGGTCTTGTACGTTGATGGAGCCTCTAACGTTGAAGGAGCGGGTGCAGGGGCTGTGCTGGTGGGCCCAGATGGTTTTAAGTCTGAGCATGCACTGAGATTTAAGTTTCAAACGACTAACAACGCTGCAGAATATGAAGCCCTCATCTACGGATTGAAGTTGGCGACGAGCTGAAGGCACTGAGCATTCAGGTTTTTAGCGACTCTCAGCTCGTTGTAGGCCAGGTGAAAGGCAGCTATGAAACGAGGGATCCACAGCTTGCTCGTTATGCCTCCGTGGTTAGCAGATTAAAGGCAAGATTTGCATCTTTTCAGATCGACAAAATACCCAGGGCGGACAATCAACGAGCTGACGAGCTGTCTAAGTTGGCCTCCTCGTAAGAGACCAATCCTCATAGGTCAACAACAGTCGAGGTACTTGATACTCTGAGCTATACTGATTTTACACTCGAGTGTCAATTACTCAGCACAGACCCCTGTTCACCGAGCTGGACCACCCCGCTCATAAGTTATCTGCAAAGTGGCGAGTTACCTGAAGATCAATCCGCTGCAAAATTGATTAAACGCAGGGCGACACATTTCACTTTATTAGATAACCAGCTCTACAAACGAGCAGCCTCTATGCTCCTATTACGCTGCCTTACTCCTTACGAAGCTGAATACGTTGTGAGGGAAGTTCACAAAGGAGTATGTGGCACGCACATCGGTGGCAAAACTTTAGCTCGGAAACTACTAAGGCACGGTTATTACTGGCCCACTATGGTCGAGGACGCACAGAACTATGTCAAAAAGTGCCTGACCTGCCAATTCAATGCCGATGATATTCACAAGCCAGGTATCCGAGCTCGTTCTACAGCTTATGCTAACCTAGTGACTGTCTATGAACTGAGCATAAGTACCTTTCTTGAAACAGGGGAAATGCTATCATCCCTTACGTCTCCCTGGCCTTTTGCTCAATGGGGTGTCGACCTGCTCGGCCCTTTCATCAAAGGCAAAGGAGGCTGCACTTTTCTGGTCGTCGTAGTGGATTACTTCACTAAGTGGATAGAAGCTAAACCGCTGTCCACGACAATAGAAAGAAAAATAGAAGAATTCTTGTTCAATTCAATATTGTGCAGGTATTCTTTGGTGACCGAGGGTATAAATAAAATAGATGCAAACGTGATTTGCAGCTCACCTTGCTCATCTGTGTGGGGGTTCGGCATACCTAAGCGGATTATCGCTGACAATGGGCCACAATTTCGAGCAGCAGCACTGAGGTCGTTTTGTAACGACTATGGCATTGAGCTCGCCTTGACATCTGTGTACACTCCACAGTCCAATGGGCAAGCCGAGTCCGCCAATAAAATCGTCTTACGGGGACTCAAAACGCGTGTTTTGGCTGCGCATACTAATTGGGTTGACGAGCTCAATAAAGTGCTGTGGTCATGTCGTACTACACCTAGCTCGGCCACAGGCGAAACCCCGTTCAATCTGGCATATGGAGCTGAGGCTGTTATCCCCGTCGAGGTCGGATTGCCATCCGATAGATCAGATCGTCATGACGATCAGAATAATGAACAACTCTTAAGAGAAAACCTAGACCTTGTGGAAGAAATCAGGGAGATGTCCCGAATAAGAAACATGGCACATCAAAGTCGTGTCGTAAAATTTTACAATAAAAGAGTTCGAGCTTGCCAGTTTCAAGTCGGCGATCTGGTCCTACGTAAAGCTGGGCTAACTAACACCCATTCGTACATGGGCAAGCTCGCTCCTAATTGGGAAGGCCCTATATGGTTGTTCAGGTTAAATGACCTGGCTCTTATGTATTAGTAGATATACAGGGACGTCACTTGCCTTACATTTGGAACATATAGAATCTAAGAAAATTTTACAGTTAACCTGTATAGTATTCTTTTATTCAAGTTGATATTCGACAGTTGTAAACAATGATATACTGAAAACACAACAAAAATTCAAACGAAAACTCATTTTTGTATTTCATCAAAGATGTTTACATTGAGGGTACTTATATATTACATTGATCAAATACAAAAATGCAAAAGTGAAATATAAAAGAACAAAAGAAAAACCCTAAATCTAGTCATCCGTCAGATCGACGGGCATGGATGCATCAGCAGCAGCTGCAGGAGAGCGAGCCGGAGGAGACCGAGCAGCGGCCTCAGAGACTGGCGCGCTGACTGGCGAGTTGACTGGCACCACAGCGGGCTGAGAGTTGGGCGGGGTGGTTGAAGGCTCCGGCTCAGCTACAGGAGCACCCTCTACCCATGCGTCAAACGAGGGCAGCCCCGTTGGATCCTCCCCATCCTCAAGGACCTGAGGAGGCCAAACAGGCACTCCTTCCTCATTGAGGTCCCACCTCAACCGTACCGTGGCGTCGACAAGGGGAGCAA